AGGTTTGATTCTGGACAAGGGCATGTACCTTGGTTGCGGGCACATCCCCGGTAGGGGGTGTGCAAAAGGCAGCTGATCGATGATTCTCTCTCATCGATGTTTCTAACTTTCTCTCTCTCTTCCTCTCTGTAAAAAAATCAATAAAATATATTTTTTAAAGAAAGAAAAGAAATGACCACGTGATAAGTACAGACTTGCTTGGTTTTATCACATAACTGCCCAAACAACGTATATCAGGGCAGAACTTTTTCTGAGTGATGAACAATGCAACATCAACTCTCTAGAATGAAGTGGGGGTTGTGCTAAGTTGTGTAGAACCAAGAATAAGTGATGTTTAAAATTTATTTTGATTCTGAAAAAATAAGCAATAAAATTACAACTTTGTAAAAAAAATTATACTTCTTTCTTAGTTTATGTACAGGATTTGTATATGCCAATCATGCTCTATTGTGTATTGGGGAGCATGGCAATGAGGAACAGTTACTAGTTAAGTGATGTCCAAACTAAAATCCAATCTGCATTTTGGAAAGTTACCAACACAACACATGCCAAATGACACTATTTAATGCCTCTTTGACTGTAGGAGCTCAGAGTGTTTCCAGTTTAATTATTTCCTGTTTTAATATCCTAGAGCCAATTTTGGGGAATGCCTCTTGCCGTACATGGAGCATATCTATTCCTACCCTTCCCCCTCAGCCCCCAACTAATCTAATATCTGCAAAGAGAAAAATAATTCAAGCCATTATAACTTTGTTCCAGAATGTAAAGGAAAAATATAATCATAATGTATGAATATATAGAAAAATAGGGAAAGTAAAAAAAGGATAACATGAAAATTCTAGAACTAAAAACTGAAATATTCAAATTAAAAATACAAGCTGGGCTTTCAAATTATTGGAGGTTACAGAAGGAAAATTCAGCAAAATAGACCAAAAAATTGTATTCAATCTGAAAAACAGAGATAAAAGATTGAAACAAATGAGTCTTTGTGAACTTTGGGACCATAAAAATGGTCTAACATATAAATTTGAATCACAGAAGACAAAAAGAGAGAAAGAATGAAGCAGAAAAACATTTCAAAAAATAATAGAGAAAAAAAAATATCCCAGAAGTGGTGAAATACATGACAATGCAGATTCAAAAAGCCAGAAAAGTTTTGACAATGCAGATTCAAAAAAACACAAAAATAAAAAGAATGAAATATATCATAGACACACCATAATTAAACTGCTGAAGATGAAAAATAAAGAGAAAATCTTAAAAGCAGATTTAAATGACTGGTAGCTTTTCATCGGAAAAACAAACTAGAATATAGTGGAAAACATTTTAAGAATATTAAAAAAGAAAATAAAGCACTCTATAAGCAGCAAAAAAAATTTTAAGAATGAATACAAAATAATGGTTCTTTTAGATAAATAAAAACTAAGAGTATTTTTTTCCAGCAGATCTGTATAACAAGAAATATAAAAGAAGTTTTTTTTTATGTTGAAAACTTACGATATCAAATGGAAACTCAGTTTTTTAAGAAAGAAGAACATTGTAGATTGTAGATATATGAGTAAACAGAAAACTCTATTTTTCTTTTAATTTCTTCAACATTTACATGAGCATTTAAAGCTAAAATTATAACATCATATGGATTATGGTTTATGTATATCGAATACAGATTATGAAGACCTAAGCACATATTATCTAGGTTCTCTGCTACAGGGTCTTTCACAGGACTTCTATCAAAATGTTGGCTAGGTCTGGGATCTCATCTGAAGGTTTGACTGGGAAAGGTTTACTTCCAAGCTTATTTACATGGACATTGGTGAAATTCAGTGCCTTGAGGGTTATTGGTCGGAGGACCTCAGTTCTTCATTGTCTGTTGCCCAGAGACTTCTCTCAGTTCCTTGCCAAATGGGTCTCTCCAATCTGGCCGTTTGCTTCATCAAACCCAGAAAGAGAGTGTAGTCTTCTGGTTAAAGGCAAGTCACTAATGGGAAGGAAATTACACAAAGCCATAAATCCCAATAGGCAAGAATCACTGGGGCCATCCACATTCCAGATTCTACCAACATAGAATGGCCTCCCTGGACTGTTTGATACCTTCTAGTCTATGAAATTAAATACACACACACACACACACACACACACACACACACACACACACACACAAATTGAGCCCTAACCAGGTTTGCTCAGTAGATAGAGCGTTGGCCTATTGAATGAAGGGTCCCAGGTTCAATTCTGGTCAAGGTCATGTACCTTGGTTGTGGGCACATCTCCAGTAGGAGGCAGCTGATCAATGTTTTTCATCGATGTTTCCAACTCTCTATTCCTCTCTGTAAAAAAATCAATAAAATGTATTTTTTTAAAAAACACCCACTTGTTAAGACTGTGGAAGAAATACTCAAGCCCAAGACCTGTGCCAACCTCTGTCCCCAACATGGTTTTCCCCTTCCCTCCATCCCTTGCCTATCCCTTTATTTGTAAATTATCCTCCATGTTCAATGCCTGGCCAGAAGTTGCCTCCTCCTTGAAGTCTCCCCACAGCTCTAGAGCTCCAGCTGACAGTCTCCCCAAGTCATGACCTTGAGCATTTGGTTTAGAAGCATTGTGCTCACAGCTGCTGGTCCCATGTGTCACAAGCATAGCAAGTTTATAAATAATTCTTATCTTCCCAGCTGCTCTTTTCAAGAATGATAAGCATTTTGAAGTTTGCAGAAATTCAACCAGGACATGGAAATGCTTCCCTGGATGCCCTTCAGTGGCCTAAGAGTGGAAAGTTCCATCAGGAACAAAGGAAGGAGAAAAATAAGTCTTTTCTGGAGTGCTTTCAGCAATAATTGGGTCTTGGGGACATGGATTCAGAAATATAAAAAGTTTTCTGACTTTCTATGACTCCATTTCCAAACTTTTAATCACTCCAGGGAATGCAGCAGTTCTAATTACAGTGCTGCTTTCAATTTTTCTTCTACATGTGCTAGTTGTTCCTTTGGGTATTTTGCCTAAATCACAGAACCAAGGCAGAGTGAGGGAAACTGGCTTTCATCACTTCTTCAAGTAAGAGGTGGACATCTCAGCCTGGGCCTTTCAAACTGGTGCTGCTATTTCTGGCCCAGGTCTGGCCCCCAAACATAGCGGCTCTTTCTCAGTAGGTTCCTGATCAAGGTAAGTGAGAATACTTATAGGAGTAATCCTTAACCTTTCTTTAACACAGTAATATTTTTCAGCTTCTGGATTTTTCCTCCAAAAGGGTTAGGGCTTGAGAAGGGAAGAAGTGAAACAATTTCAGTGGTTTCACAAAGATTGAGGGACATACAGAGCTCCTTCTTCCTAGGTCAAGAAAACCGAGATGGCAAGAAACCTATGAAACTTTTCAATCTTGTTTTATGAACTCACTTACTTCAGAGACACATTGAGAAAGGAGAGGGTCACATGGTTTCAAAGCCTCCTCTTGTACAATTCCAGGAAGCACCACTCACATCGTGGCCATGGAAATGGCTGGAGTTGTCCTGGAGTTATGCTTCAGAGGATATCGTTTATGTTGTCTACAATATAAGTGGGATCTCCTGGAACCCTTTATCATTGTGGCTTGGAATTGAAGCGGCCTCATGGCCTGAGCAGCCCATACTTTCTGAGTCTTCCCCACTTCAAGAGCAGCTCTGCTTTAAATCTGAGGGTTCTGAATTTAAGAAAACAGAAGTTCTCTGTCATAACATCATTGCTCTCTTCTAGTCCCAATTCAGAAGAGGGTAACTTGAGGGTCGAAGAGAGGAAACTAGTTCGAACTCTACATAGCAGGTTAGAAGGTTAAGCGGAATATAGCCCAAACTTGTGGCTTACAGGCCAGATGACTTTTCACAAATTCAATGCAATTCTGGAAGGAAGCTAAATAAGAAAAACTTAGAAAGATGCCTGCTTGGTTCAATATAAAGAATTTTCTAATACCCCAGAGCTCTGCAAATAATGGAATACACTGTTAGGTAATGTAGTGACCAATTTATCATGAGAAGAGATAAAGCCTAAACCGAAAAGCCATGCTGCAGTGTGGTGCAGAAAATCTAGGATGGGAGCAAGGGTTGGACTAGATTACCTGGGGAGCATAATTAGTGACAGGATATTAATCTGGGTAACACATCTAATAAGCAGCTAAGCCTGAAGGACTGTTACTATCCACTGATTCTTGTGTGGATACTCACCAGGAAGGAAGGTGACCCAGTAGAATGATAAATAAAAAAGCACCAGAGTAGCTTTCCATAACTCCTATTCCTACCAATATCCTGAGTGCCCTTCCAGATGCTCTGGCCTCTCCTAACCCTGTGTTTCCCCTCCCTGTCAGACTGTGATCCTACTTAAGCTTGGGCCATGGGCCACCCTTGTTCCTCATAGGAATTGTCCTTCCTACATATTAGATTATTAACAAGTGTTTTGATGAATGGATGTTCAGACACAGACAAAGGATGGATGGATGAATGAATAGATGGATGGATAGATGGATGGATGGATGGATGGATGGATGGATGGATGGATGGATGGAGAGCCCTGGAGATGGACTGGCAGATCATGATGCTTCCCATGAGAAAGAAGATCTTGGAAACAACAGGAGTATGTTTTCTGTGAGAATGATCTGGAGAACAGAAATAAAGTGAGTATTCACAACTAGTCATATCATAATACCTGGCACAGTGGAAGAACATGGAGCAAACGTAAAGTCATTTTTATGATCTAAGTTTAATGAGATAAATTGCCATATAATACATGGAATAACTAAAATAAATGTGCTGTCTCAGATTAAATGCATTAAGTGATTAGAATCACCATTTTAAATACTGTAAATTTGATGTATTATTGCTTCTTTTTCTTAGGAAGAAATAGAGACTGTGAACTCTCAGAATTGTTTTCTAATCACTCAGCCTGACTGAACTCAAGACCAGATGGTCTGCACCTATGTGAGGCAAAGAATGTTGAGTTTGGATTTCAGTATTTCCTTCAGTTGAAAGAGGAGACCTACCATGGAAAGTGCCAACCAGACAGCCTCTGTGACCGAGTTCATTCTCCTGGGCCTCTCTGCCCACCCAAAGCTGGAAAAGCTGTTCTTTATGCTCATCCTGCTGATGTACCTGGTGATCCTGCTGGGCAACGGGGTCCTCATCCTGGTGACCATCTCTGACCCCCACCTGCACACCCCCATGTACTTCTTCCTGGGCAACCTCTCCTTCCTGGACATCTGCTACACAACCTCCTCCGTGCCCCTCATTCTGGACAGCTTCCTGACCCCCAGGAAGACCATCCCCTTCTCGGCCTGCGCCGTGCAGATGTTTCTCTCCTTTGCCATGGGGGCCACGGAGTGTGTGCTTCTGGGCATGATGGCGTTCGACCGCTACGTGGCCATCTGCAACCCCCTGAGGTACCCCGTGGTCATGAGCAAGGCTGCCTACGTGCCCATGGCTGCCGGCTCCTGGGCAGCTGGAAGTGCTGCCTCCATAGTTCAAACATCCCTTGCAATGAGGCTGCCCTTCTGTGGGAACAACATCATCAACCATTTCACCTGTGAGATCTTAGCTGTCCTCAAGTTGGCCTGTGCTGACATCTCCACTAATGTGGTCAGCATGGGAGTGAACAATGTGATCTTCCTGGGGATCCCACTCCTGTTCATCTCTTTCTCCTACGTGTTCATCATGGCCGCCATCCTGAGGATCCCCTCGGCGGAGGGGAGGAGAAAGGCCTTCTCCACCTGCTCTGCCCACCTCACAGTGGTGGTTGTCTTCTATGGGACCATCCTCTTCATGTACGGGAAACCCAAATCCAAGGACCCTCAGGGGGCAGACAAACAGGACCTTTCAGACAAGCTCATCTCCCTCTTCTATGGGGTGGTGACCCCCATGCTCAATCCCATCATCTACAGCCTGAGGAACAAGGACGTGAAGACTGCTGTGAGGAACTTGGTGAGTCAGAAAATCTTCACCCAGAGATGTTTGGAGAACAGATATTCCTGTAGTTCTGTTCCTCTTGGCTGCTTTCACCCACCAATCTCAAAAGAATGTGTCCCCCAAAGAAAACACATGTGAACAGTAATGAACCTGGCTGAGGTGGCTCAGTTTGTTGAGCATCAACCTGTCCACCAATGGGTTGCCACTTTGATTCCAAGTCAGGGCATATGCCTGGGTTGCAGGTTTGGTCGCAAGTTGGGGCACCTGCGGAGGGCAGCTCATTGATGTTACTCTCTCACTTCTTTCTCTCTCCATCTTTCCTCCCTCCCTTCCTTCCACTCTATTTAAAAGCAATGGAAAAATATTCTCAGGTGATGATTAAAAAAATAAAAGAAATGACCCGAAAATCAAATGACACATATAATGGAAAATTTTATGGGTCCTATTTTTAAAAATGTAAAACCTGATGGGAGAGTGACTTGAGGGAATGGAAGTGGAATGCTGCTAAACACACACACACACACACACACACACACTTAGTGAATTTTCTGATTCTCTACTGGAAACATCTAAACACATCTTTGTGAGTAGAATGCTCTATTTTGGGGAGAAAAACAGTTTAATGTACCTTTATGTTACATAAAGATCCAAAATCCTACTCTGGAGGCAGTGTGGGCAAAACTTCATGACATCTATAATAATGAAAGCATAATATGCTAATTAGACCGGATGTCTTTCTGGAAGTCCTTCCCTCTGGACAAAGCTTGGTGGGCAGGGGCCGAGGCAGAGGCGGCTGCTGCGGTGGCAGGGGCGAAGGCCCTTGCACAAATTCTGTGCATTGGGCCTCTAGTAGCAATATAAAAAACTGTCTTCATTGTCGATGAAATGGCATATTTTCAAATTTTATTTTTCTTGAAGGCAGGGCTGACCTTGGAGATGAGAATGAAGTTGGTCTTCTTCCTTTCCCTGAGATGCAGAGGAGTTGGAACCATGCAGGTTCCATGTCAGGCATTTCCTTTGAGGGCAAGTAAGCCAGATCCTGTAACACAGGTGTGGGGGGGGGTCTTAGGTTTGGAGCACTCATAGCTGGAATCCATTAATTCCATCCAGTTTTAAGGTTAATTTTCCTGCCCTCAGTAAGTCTTGTTTAAGTACATAGTCTGGCTCGAAAGTCCAGAGAGTTAAAAGATGGACCTATTGGGAGGGAGTAGAGCCGGGGCCACTGCAGTCTGAGAGAAGCCAGAGTCGGAATGGTAAGGCGTGACCAGAATAAGGTGAAGTAAGGTGCCTGACGAGAGGTCCAGAAGGAAAAATGTGTGAGGATCTCAATCAGTAGAAAAATGAAAAAGGGCATGCTACTGCAACAGAGAACTTGGAATATCTCTTTTTCCTCAAAGCAACTGGATGTCCATTTTTTCCCTGAGAATCAAGACTTTCTAATGAAGAAGAAGAAGAAGAAGAAGAAGAAGAAGAAGAAGAAGAAGAAGAAGAAGAAGAAGAAGAAGAAGAAGAAGAAGAAGAAGGAGAAAAGCTCCTTGCCTGCCTTGCTTGGGTGCCTGGTTCCTCCTTGCTAAGACATGGCCAGCAGCTCTCTTTGGCCCCATGGTGCTGTCCTGCCTTCACTGGGCAGAAACATGGACGCCAGTCACAGCCTGTGTGGCCCCTTCAATAGTCTCAGGCTGTGAGGGTGAGCACCTGAGGCATGTTCCTGTTTCACCATCGCAAAGACAGTGTTATCTGTGCCATCCTGGTGTGCATTTTTCTTGCCTTGCTGAGCATAGAGTCATTCCATGCACTTTTTAGCTCACTATAGAGAGGATGACATTAACTCAGGAATTAATTTCAACCTTATTAAGTCAAGAATTGACTTAAAAATGAAACATCCCACCTGGCTGAGTATAGACCTAAGAACAAGGAGGTCACAGTTTGATTCCTGGTCAAGGCATATTCCCGGGATGGAGGCTCGATCCCTAGTGTGGGGCATACAGGAGGCAACTGATCAATTATTCTCTCATCATTAGTGTTTCTATCTCTCCTCTCCCTTCCTCTCTGAAATAAATTATATATATATATATATATATATATATATATATATATATATATATTTAATGAAACATAACTGAAGAGCAAAATTCCTTTTCAAAAACTTTATTTCACTAGTTTTGACTTGGAAAACTGTGCCTAATTCCCACCCAGATCTTTCTACAGGACTGAAGGAGGTGTTCCTCCAGCTGCTGGAAGTACTGCCAGCGGACAGCCTTCAGCTCTGAGCATCCTCAGGAATTACTGCAGAGGGCTCTTAAGAAAAAAGAGCAGATTCACCCAACATCATGCCCCCTTCCTCAGGCAGCCCATATCCAGTGACCGATTAATGAGGGATATACATGTTTTGCTCCCACTGGGACAATTCTGTAGCACCATCCCAGTTCCATGGGGTTGGCCAAAGCTGTTGTTGAAACATCACAGCCCAACTTCCCCCTCTGCCCAGTCCTGCTTCCTTATTCTCCCCCCCAGTGTTGATCTCAAGAGTGCTTTCTAATCAACCTCCTGTACGCCAATCTCCATCTCAGAGTTTGCTTCCCAGCAAATTCAAATTGTGACACCACACAGACTCCAATGCTCAAGGAACACATGTTCTCTTTTCATAATCTGTGAACACTGGAAATACTTAGCAAAAATCAAGTAGGATAGTTGGGTGAGGCAGTCTAGAGTAGTGTTAGCATCAGAAGTTTTGGAATCAGACCTTGGTTAGATTCCAGCTCCCTTATTTATCATGGTTGCAAACTTGGTTTGTTTTAGATTGTAGATACCTTTCTCTGGAATCTGCCCTCACCCTGCCCACTAATTCAATATTTCCTAATCTTTTCCTTGGCATGAAATACATAGAAAATAATGGTATTTGAATGGCACCCTGGGTAAGTGGATGAGTCTATTCACCTGGGGGCTTAGGTCACTACATGTCCTATTTAGTGACCCTGGGGGGCAGGAGCACTGAGCCTGGCATATCTGGAGCCTGTAGCACACCAGCTAGGAAGCCTACCGAAGGCAGAATGTCTTCTCCCTTAGCACCTGATTAAAGGACAGTCATGCCCCTTCTCCTGACCACAGATGGTTGGACTCTTGACAAAAATATGGCTCACTATATTTTTCTCTCCAAGGAATTTGGGATTTGGATATAGAGACCTTTGTTAGTTGATAATAGGGCTGGGGAGTGAACCCACAACCTTGGCATATCGGGATAATGCTCTAACCATCTGAGCTACCTGGCCAGGGTGGCACAGGGCTCTTAAACTGAGAGACCACATAAATCCAGGACTGATAGGGCCATGGTCTTGAAAGACAGAGAAAGCTGGTCTGCAGAAAGAGATGACAAATCGAGTGCATAAAGAGAACTAAACCCACAAGAAAACAGAGATAGAAGCTGCGATGCATGAGCTAAGACTTGAGGTCATTTTTCTTTCATTTTATGAGAAAATTAAAACTTATAGAAAAGTGGAGAGAATAATAAAATGAATCCTTAGGTATTAATCTCTCAAATTCAACAATGACCAGTTCATGGCCAATCCTGTTCACCCATACCTCCATGGATTACTTCTTCCTCTCCTGAGTTATTCTGAGTCAAATCCCAGATTATTATAGCATTTGTAGTGCAGCCTAGGTATCTGGGGTCAGGGGCCTCCTAGGTTTTAAAATCTTTCTTCCTTACCATTTACACTGTGTGTTTGTTTTTATTTATTTATAAAATGTATAGATGTTTTACTGTACCAACATGTGATGCACACTCTAAAATGTTTACAAAAATAGAAATTAAAATAGATAACAAGAGGATTTGTCCTGCACCATGGTTTCACATCCTCTTGTGAATATCACAGGCTCTGGGTGAGTTCTCACTGACTGAGGACCAGAATGACCCTTCTCCACCGGTACTTTCAAAAGCTCAGCAGGATGGTTATGAGGGAGGGAGGGAGACGAAAGTATCTCTGGCAGGACTTCTGAATAAATTGGATCTTGGGGACATAATCCCAGATGCATAAAGTTTCTAAACTTTGTCACTTTAGTTTCTTAACTTTAAATTACTTCAGGGACTTGTATAATCCCAATAGGAGGGTAGAATTTAAGTGGCTTCATATATGCAATGGACGGTCCTTTGTGGATTTTACCCAGGGACAAGGAAGTGTAGCTTTAATACATTGCAGACTTCAACTCCTCTGGCTGCTACTTCAGACCAGATTGGCAATTTTTATGACCCTGGACTATTCCCAGACCTCAAAGAAGTAATTTTTTTTTATCAACTTATCTACCAAAAAAGGTAAGAGGGCAATTTTTAAAGAAGGTGTAGACTCTTATGGTCTCAGCCCTGTTGCTAGCTTCATCCCTTGACTAAGTGGCATGGGGTAACTTGGAGGAAGGAGAAAAGGACATCTCATTGGTATGAGAGAAAGTCCGAGGATGAGAAGTTCAGGAGATCAGTTAGGCCCTGGGATGGAATAGCATTAGAATAAAGTAAATGTTAGGGAAACAAGGCCTGGAGAGGAAAGGGGACTTAATGATTCCCACACGCCGAATGATTGATGAAGGCCCATTTCTTCTGACAAGTGCTCCAGAGGAGTTTGTCAGGCAAGTGAATGAATGAATGAGGGAAGGAATGAAAGAATGAATGCATGAATAGCTTAGGGGCCTTTAAACTATCAGACAGAACTGTAAATGAAGAAGAAAGTCATATCCAAAAGTATGTGGAAAGAGTAACTGTCAGCAATTGAGGAAAAAGGAGACCAGTTAGTTCCCCAAGATCTATGACCCAAAGGGAGGAAAAACATACAAATGAAATATAACACTTCTCACAAAATTGATTAAAATGAATCAGCTACACATGCTATAAGTTGAAGTACATGAGTGATTCCTATCTCGAATTTGATTGGAATATTAAATTCAATCAGGTGACATTTAAAACATCCCTATGGGGAGGCCAAATAACCTTAGGTAGATTTTGATCTAATTCTCTGCATTTTACTTAGAACA